ATATATATATATATATATATATATATATATATATATATATATATATATATATATATATATATATATATATATATATATATATATATATATATATATATATATATATATATATATATATATATATATATATATATATATATATATATATATATATATATATATATATATATATATATATATATATATATATATATATATATATATATATATATATATATATATATATATATATATATATATATATATATATATATATATATATATATATATATATATATATATATATATATATATATATATATATATATCCTCTTTCTTCCTATGTTGTATGCTTCTTTTTCTCTATTTATTTATGCTAGAACGCTTATGAAAAGGGAACAAAGATAAAATGTTGAAGTGCTTATTAGATACATACTTAATGCATATCTTCGATTCTAAAATGGCTCAAACATACTATATGTCTGATTACGTATCTAGTATAGACTTAACACATTTATGCAATTCTGACACGCCTTAAATGCACCTCATGTATGAATGTGTATCTAATATAGACTTAACACATTTTTGTGATTCTAATATGGATTAAACTCATTCCATGTCCTAATTCGTATCTAATACAGGCTTAATGCACTTTTGTGATTCCTGATACGGATCAACCACACATTTCGCATCCAATGTTTATTAAACACACGTCCGTGTAGTTGGCACACCCGCTCGAATCTAGCAAATCTAAGGGAATGGATGGTAGACCCCAGAGACATCCACCTCAATCTGTGCCAATCCCTGGGGGCATGGATGGGGATATTACCGTTGGATAGAGAATGGTCCTCTATGACGTGGGGCATAATATAAAGTACAACTACATGACATCGATTTTGCCGATCCTAGGCATTGTCCTGGGAATCACAAGCAGTCATCCAAACGTGACATGAAAATCAATACACTACTACAACAAACCTAAAATATAAAAATAAAATTGGTAGCTAACGTTATTTAATACACTAAGTTGCAATAAGAATGGATATTCTAGAGGCATAACTGCCATTTTTTTTATAATCAAATGCATTATTTCTTTCAACAATTTGTAAACAATAATAAAGCAAAGACAAGCGAAAAGCTCTAAAGTGAATAACACTTGAATCATCGAGGTAAAATGTTTACATTAAACATCAAATATCGTTACACCCAATGCGAAAAAGGCTTGGAAACATTGTAGGAAATAAATCACATAAATCAAAAAGAAAATCAAGTCGGGGTATCTGGAGCCAATGTACTGAGATCACCTCATTGAGTCACCTCGGGAGCACACTTAAATGGATCTAAATCCTCGACATGAATTATATCATTGGGGCAGAACTTCTTTGCCTATTCCACAAATTGCTTATGGACTCTAAATACATCCATCATAATTGGCTAAAGAGAGTCATGGAGTGCTCATTTTAGTCTGAACCTCATCCTAGAAAGCTTTCAAGGCCTTGGTCTCCTAAAGGGAGCCTTTCTAGTGCTCTTCCACCTGTCGGATCTTCTCCTCAACACAATCAAAAGAATCCTTATACCATTTCTCTGCTTCTCCGAATACCTTGAGCATTTGCAAGGTTATAGACCATATTTATCTTGCTTATTTTATCCATGTTGTAGTGCAAAATATAGTCACGCGTGTTAAAAAGGCTTGAAGACTCCGCCCTTACCAAATATCTCCCTCTTCTCTTCAAGATTAACTACACTCAAGATAACATGTGTATTAATTCACCTTTTCCTCACATCAGTAGAAGGCACTTCACTAGGTTCGAACCCTGCCTCATAGCCAAGCTCTTGAAACTAGGAATGGAGTTCCTTTTTCATCGTCACCGTGTCCAGAGAAAGAGAATCTAACTTAGTACATTAGGAGTGGGCAGGCCGATTTAAATTGATCTTGTACCAATACTTAGAATACAAACCCCGACAAGAGCGAGAAGAATCGGCATGAAGGTAACATAAAATAGAGTGAGCCAAGAGGGTGAAGGGCTTCACCAATATGAGACTACCAAGAAAATTTCTTTAGTTCAGAGTAAAGGGGTCGAACAAATGATCAAACAAATGGAAGTAAATAAGCCCCTGATTATGAAAGTTGTTCAGGGAAGTACGTCTCAGATGAAAAAGATAAAAAAAAATAAGCTAAGATAGGGCTTCCAGGGTTTGTACTTGACACATTGTTTGAATACCCTTATGTACGCCCATGACCCCAGATGAAGCTGGGAAGGAGCAACTTCTAAATGTTTTGAACGACTACCTCAAATTTAGAAAAAAAATAGTCGAAATACTATTCTTGTAAGCAATTATTTTAGAACAAGACCATGCAGTCATCAAAAGAACTTCAAATCCTCGTCCTCTGTGATACCGAAGGGACCAACCACTCTAAATGATCACCGACCATAATGTTAGCACCACTCAGGGCGGCTCAGTGCTCAAATCTTACTGTTACCTTTGCATATACCCAATCATACTCCGATGCAACTGGTTGATGTCGAAGGTTTAAGTGTTACAACACCTCAGTGTTGCTCGACTCATAGCTTCATAGACGAACCTGAATGAAATCTCTAGCATGTTCCCTCCTTTGCAAATTGGCTCGTACCTCCTATTTAGACAAGACGGGAGGGGGCATAAGAACCTCGTGCGACTTACTCTTCCGTCAACATTTAATATGACGGTGTTTAATGACCCTAGAGAAGAAACCTCTTCCTATGAAGAATTCCCATATACCTTTTCTGACCCAAAATCATCAAATACGAGTATAATTTTGGGTCCTACTTGATCACTACTAAGAGAAAGATGAGGAGATTCAAGGGATGACCCTAATGAAGTTTCTACTTCATAATTGCTCACTAAATCAACAATATTGTAGTTCATCCTAACTAGAAAATAGGAAATGTTAAAGGTAAAACTTGAGTTAGAAGAGTACCTGATTATAAAAGATTGATGAAGTAGGAGGAATAAAAGAAAGGAAAAACCTTTAAGGGAAACACTTAATCACTTCTATTGATGCTTTCAAAGAAGAAGGAACAAAGACGTTTGGAAAGTAACTACAAGCTTAAAAGCTAAAGGTTGTGAAATTTTCCAAATACTTGACTCACTCTATTTATAAGCAACAACATTTGAAGATCAAGATCAACTATGGAAAGAAGTCCCAAGATCAACGACTAATTTTCACTCATAGACACACGTCAACTCGAGTGTGCTCAAGTACTCTATAAAATGTGTTATACTCTAATTTGTTACGTCATTACACATGCCAGAAAAGAGTGACAAAACATTTCAATGATAAATGTTATTTTGACACTGATTTCTTACACTTATAGTATATGTCATTGTTCATAAATATGACGAATAAGGATGTTGATAATTTTAACTTATCTATATTTTTTCTTTCTTTCCAAAACAATTTTGGTTAATGGTGTATAAAAACTTAATTTATGTTGAGGTCATTTGAGAGTGTCAAACACGAGAGAACATTTTTATTTTGAAGTTTTCTTTAATGAACAACACACTTTTGTAAGAGACACATCACATACTCTCACAAAATCTTAAAATAATAAGTGTGTGAGTTCTTCTACTTATAAATACTCAAATATTTATATTTTTAACCAATGTGAAACTTTTACACGGTACTCACGCTTGTAATTTTTTTTTTTTGAATAATTAATACAATTCATAAATTGGTTAATATGTCTACAACTGATTAATTAAGTGTAATAACTTGTTTAATATATGATTCATAATTTGATTATTGAATATCTTGACATCAAAAAAATAAAATCTTATGCGATAAATAAACTTTCATTAATAGTATCTATAAAGTTGGTTAATATAGTTTTTAATTTGGTTATGAGTTCTCACATATGGAAATAAAAAAAAACATAAATAATAAAATGAAATTTGTTAATAAATTGTGAAGATTGTTTATATTTTTTTATAATTTAATGTCTGTAAATAGTTTATATTATAAAATAATTTTTGAATAAAAATTATAAATTTTATTTATTATCTTAAAAAAATTGAATATATATATATATATATATATATATATATATATATATATATATATATATATATATATATATATATATATATATATATATATATATATATATATATATATATATATATATATATATATATATATATATATATATATATATATATATATATATATATATATATATATATATATATATATATATATATATATATATTGATGGTATTTGTTGGTGTTAACATAGCACTGCTAATAAATATATTTAAATAATTTTATCTTTTAAACTAACTTTTTGAGATGAGATAAAAATTTATTTAATATGGTAATAGAGACAGTTTAAATACTGCAATGTGTGAACTAATCCAGATTTTATACTAGACGTGAGAAAGGTGTTTAAGTTGTGTTGCAGTTTCGCTTTTAAGATAAGATCCAAACCCACTTTAAACAAATTAAAAACATTGATGTGAAACAAGACCTTTGGTTACAAATTTGAATTCTAGTTAGGAGAAATTAGAAGTTAATACTCTTTAAATTAGAAGTGAATTTTAGTTGCGGATTAAAGATTTAAATTCTCATCTTTTAATCCACAATGAAGGTTACTTCAATTTTATAAAGTTTTTATTCAAATGAACACTGACAAGCATCCTTTCCTTTGAAACTTCAAGAAGGAAATTAAATAGATAAAATAAAAATAAAATGTTAAAAAAATAATCAAATACCATTCATGGTTCATCATATATATATTGACTTTTTGTGCATCCTACACAGATGAAATCTGGGGAGCAAAACCATCTAGTACTACTTACAAATTTATGAAGATCAATCCAAACTAGATACATCATATCTATTCATTATAATAAAAATTCTCAAGACCCAAAAATAGATGCAGCAAAAAACAGCATAACCATAAAAATACATCTATAGATTTTATATTAAAAAAAAGTCTATCACAAAATATATTAGATAAACATCATCTATATCTATAGGTTCAACCATGATTTTCTGTAACTCCATGGAACTCTTGTTGTTCAGAGTTTTTCACCAAGACATGTTGTTTCTTAGACTCAACATGTGTGTGATACAATATGACATTAGGCCTTACATCAAAGTCTAGAATGAAGTTATTATTTTTCCCTGCATCTGTTACCTCTGGAGTTTGAACAAGTTCTTTGATTGCTTCAGGCATAGGTTCATCATTCATCATATTCTTCCAATAATCTCCCATGTCTTTTCTTGCATAAGAGAGGTCAGCAACCTATAAAGAAAATTGAAAGGTTATATATGAGATTGATTGATATATCAATCAAGAAAATTCATGGAGATGAATGATTCATGAAAGGTTACCAGAAAGAGATAAAATAGTATGGAGAAAGCAAAGATGGACTTCATTTCTTTTTTATGTGGACTTTTCATTAGATTTGTTATTTTGTTGGCTAAGATTTTCACCCTCTGACTATCTCTTTTATAGGCCACAAGGGGACCCACTATGTACATGATGAATCTAGAAGTTTTGACTAATGGGACAATATCATATTTTAGAAATGTTTATGAAAAAAATATACCTAGTTTTCATTATTATCATTTTGACAAAAAGTTGAGGGCTACACAAAATGCTATTCTATATTTAAAAAATTTAAGACATTTATCTATAAAATTTTAATTACTCTTTATGTGTCACATATTTTAAAATTGTTGAATTTCTTTCATTTACAACACCTCTTATAAACAAAAAATAGTTTTTAAATATTAAAATTAATTTTTTTTAAAACTATATTTATAAATCTAAAAGACAAAATGTTGATATGTATGTGTTAGAACAACCACTAGTATAGGAAGTAAAAGATAAACAACACATATCAATCCTTGTTAATATGGTTCTATCAATGGGATTTACTTCTACAACTATAAAAAATTTATGGTTCATTTTTATTTTTGTGATAACAAAAAATATAGTTACAAAAAATATATATTATATCATGACTCAATTTACAATAATATTTTAGAACCGTGTCGCGGGGTTACTACCCCCGCATCCTAGTCACTTATCTACAACAATATGTTAGATTTAAGACACATTTGAAAGTTTGATTTAAATTTTTTGTATTTTTATTGTGTTTTTTTAATCTTTATATGAGATACACTTGACATTCTCCATCTTGGCGAATATCAAAATTCTATAAGGACTTGTTGCATGACCAACACATCTTAGAAAATGGAGAAGGTACACCTAGTGCTTGACACTGAGAAACTTGTAACAAGTTTAAGAAATGTTTGAATTTGTTACTGATGGCTGGCTTGGTCAACATATTAGTTGAATTCTCTGAAGTATGAACTTTTTAAAGTAATCTTTGTCCAGATGTAAGTAACTTTATGATTATATGAAACTATACATCAATATGTTTAGTTCTGACATATTTTTAAATAAATGGAACTTTGACTATCACAATGCAATTGAACTCCACATTACTTAGCACCCAATTCTCTAATCAATCTTGTAAGTCATAAGGATTATTTTGCAGCTTAATCATCCGTCATTCACTCTTCTTCATTTTTCAACATGACCATTATGGATTAAATCAATTATTTTCAACAAATAGATCATCTTGTTAAGGAAAAGATACACTTTATTGTAGATCTTCTATCATCTATATCACTAACATAGTCTAAATTGACATATCCTACAACTGAAAGATCACCTTGTTCACTATTGAACATGATATCAAGACCCGTTGTACCCTTCAAGTAACATAAAATCCACTTGACTACTTCCTAATTAAGTTTTTTTGGTTCACATGATATCAAGACCCGTTGTACCCTTCAAGTAACATAAAATCCACTTAACTACTTCCTAATTAAGTTTTTTCAGTTCAGACATAAACTTACAAACTTGACTTACAACTTGTGTCAAATTAGGTCTAGTGTAAACCATAGCATATATTAAACAATCAAGAACACTAGCATAAGGAACCTTTCAGATACATTCAACTTTTACATCTGTCATTGGAAAATGATCTAATGATATTTTAAAATCTAATCGCTAATAAAGTACTCACAACCTTTGAATTACCGATGACGCCTTGTCATCATGTAATTTTAATATGCATTTGCATATATTTTTGATAATTTTTAGCAGTATATGTTTGAGTTTTATGAAGAAATAGAAAGAAAATTAAGAAGTGGAGAAACAAAACAGAAAGATGAAAAAGTGGATAAATTGTTAAGAAAATAACATTTTTAGCATAATTCATATCATGACGTGTGTCCAGTAATTTGAACACATATATAGAGTTTTGTAACTCGGATTGAGACGAGACATTTTGCAAATGAAAACTAACAAAAATCTCTATATTTTGAAAAAATTGTGTGCAAGAAAGGTGTCATCGCGTGCATGAAAACAAGCATTATGTGTGCGAAGCTGACTAGTTGAAGAATTTGTGTGCAAGATCAAAAGCACCGTCTGCATGATTTATGCATTTTCTGACACATATTTGCTTCTATAAAAGTGGAGAGCACATTTGAAAGAGAGGTGGACATTCTCGTTACAAAATTTTAATGGTGAAGCAATTTATAGAGCTTTGGAGCAAAGGCTTTCATCACCAAAAGTCAAATTCTAACCAGATATTCATGTATTGTTTCTTTATTATTTTAGATATGATTCCTATTAGTACGACTAGTTAAGTTTTATTGATTAGGGCTTAAGAGATGAACCTATTTTGATTTGTAGAGACATATAACTTGTTTTGTATTATTTGCATAATATAATATTGCAGTTCTGTTCAGTCATCTTTTTGCACAATGCCTTTTGTGTGTTGACAAACTCATAAATTGAACCTAGAATTCTAGTAATTATTGACTCTAACTCTAAGTTTAACTATATAATTGATTTAGGAATAAACGACTATTAGTTATAGCTAACAAATCAACGAACGTAATTTCCCTGATTTTACTCTCCAACTAGCCTAAAGGATTAGGAAGTTGAAGTTTAAATTAGTGAGTTATACATTAAGGAATTGAGTATAATGGTCTTGTTAATCCATCATAACATTGTGAAATCAGTTTTAGACAAATATATGCAGTCATTAACAGTGAGATTTAAGGAATTAGGATAAAACCTAATCTCTGTTAATCTGATAAAGTTTTCTAACAATTCTATTTACGCTTTTATCTTATCTAAACAAACTGTTCTGGCCTGGGCCCCGGCCTGGCCACGCAGGCCCAGCCCAATAATATTCTGCCAAGCGCAGTCCAGCTTCGGCCGCAGCGTCGGGCACAGGGTCCCCGACGAGCAGGAAATGTCCCCCCCGCGTGCAGGACCTGCCTCAGCTACGTCGGGCACAAGACTCCCCCTTCGACCAAACACTTCCTTCTCCACGGGCAGGACCTACCCTCCACGGGAAGAACCTGCTCCCCTGTTGGGCAGGACAACGTGTCCCTCACACGTTCTCCATGTGCTCCCCTCCGCGGGGACACGTCACTAACCAACTGCCCACCTCCGAAAGAGCAGGTCAAACCCACTTTCCAGAGATCACGGGACAGTTGAACTAGGGTGAAGACCACGTTCTGGTCTTCACTACGTCATGTAAGCCCTAACAGTCACCTAGGTTGGGCCTGGCAATCCAGCCCAACACAAGTGACCGTTGGCTCAGCACTGGGGTCTCTCTATAAATACCCTTTTTCACAAGAGGGTCAAGTAATTCACTTCTTACCCCTTTTCTGTACTTGTGATCGCTCTGCCCATATACTTACTTTGGCATCGGAGTGCCTTGCAGGTACACCCCCTCCTCATCATCATCACCGGTGAACAGGCAGCAGCCCAACAGAGTGTGGCCAGCTAGTGATCCTCTTCTGATCAGGTCAGATCACAAACCTAAAAGACTCCACTTTACTTTCAATAGAACTTGAATCGCTTTGTTAAAATAAAACAATCCCCATGGATACGTACTTAGATTTTTATTACTTAGATACATTTAGTACACTTGCTAAATTGTCATCAACTAGTCATGTTAAACTTGTCTAACACCTTTTAAACATATCTTTATCTAGAGAGGCATAATCTTCTAGCACTCATATGCCTGTGAATTTACATGCAAAGAATCTTCTTAGTACCACCTTAGTATGTCATGTCAACTCCTTTCCCAATATGATTTTCAACTCATTTACGTCATATAAATGATTAGAGGCAATAAACATATCATCAACATAAAGTAACAAAAAAAATGACCATTATAAAGGCTCTCAACATAAACACAATAATCATAATCGCACCTTCTATAGCCAATATGAAGCATGTATGAATCAAATTGCATATACCATTTCCTTAGAGACTAGTTTAAACCATATAAAGACCTCTTCAATTTACAAACTAGTATGTCATGTCCAGTGTCACTGAAACCCTCTGGATACTCTATGTAAATTTGTTCATCTAGATTATAACTAAGGAATGTTGCCTTCACATCCACCTTGTCTAAATGCATATCCTAGCTGGCAAGGCTAACATTTCCCTAATATAAGTATGTCTGACAACTGGAGAGAAAATCTCATCATAATAAATCCTCTTTTGAAATGAGTATCCATTTTCTACAAGACGAGACGTGAACATTTCTCCTTATTTTTCTGTTACTCTTGATTTTCTCTTGAATACCCACTTACAACAAATGGCCATTTTCCCCTTAGGAAGATGAACAAGCTCACATGTCTGGTTTTTCTTCAAGGACTCTACATCCTTCACCATTTCACTTATCCACTTATATTTATCTTGGCTATCTATAGCCTCTCAAAATATGTAAGGATCTCCAAAACTAGTAAGAAGTGCATAGGCCAAAAAGTCTTTATATTCATATCTTTCTGGTGGCTTGGTTGAATAGTGCTCTTTATCATGTACAATAATATAATCATGTAATCCACATGAAGATTTAGTATTAGAGTTTAGTTTCTATTGTGTTTTATGCACCACTTGCATATTGTTCACTGGTGGAGGATCAACACCCACCTAAATCACATCTTTGTTGGAAGTTTATCCTTTAAATGTTGACACATATATTGCAACTGTCTGCTTCAACATTAATTGCTCAACAAAAACAAAAACTTTGTTGATTAACATCTTCTTTTTAATAATGTCCCATAACTTGAACACCTTCACACCTTTTGCATAACCAACGAAGACACACTTCTTTGACTTTGGATCAATCTTCACTAAATTTATGCACATAATCTAGACACCCAAAAATCCTTAAACTTTCAAGATCAATAAGATTATATTTTCATACCTCCTATATAACCCTCCCCATAATAAAGCTTTAGGTGACCTATTGATAAGATAGCACACCATGTTAACTGCCTCTACCCTGAAACCTTTTAATAGTCCAACATTTAACATCTTTCCCTTTTATTTAGAGACATATTCATTTTGTCTT